CTATAGCCTTATTCATCCTTACGTTTCATAAATCCGTTTAAACAAGAGAAAAACTGATTTTCACTTCCCCTCAATCCTGCATTTCGCAATGTGCAATAGAACAAAAATCACTCTATTTTCCTGTAACAGTCATTAGAGGACAAAAAGTGGTCTTTTCTTTCTTGTCAACATTTTCCACTTACTCCTAACTGCTTTTTCTGAGCTTGAGAAAAGCCATTTCAGAGAAGTACATGAATACATCGATGCGGCCGATTTACAAAAGGAGCAGAGTGTGAGCACTTTGCAATGTAAATTTCCACTTTGCAACTTTGCAAAGTGAATGTTTTCTTAGCTTAGTGAATGAGGGTGAAGCTGTGTTTATTTTAATCGTCAAATCTCCCTTGCACATGATTGGGTATTCTTTACAAGGTGAATGTATACTTAGCGTAGTAAATGAGTGCAAAGCTGTGTTTATTTCAATTATACGATCGTGTAAGCAAAGATCCATTTTATTTTCCTTGCACATGATTGGGTGTTCTTTGCAAAGTGAATTTCAACTTACTTTCACCACATTCACTATGCTCTGCTCCTAATTTGACGACTATACGGGCAACTCAATAAAGGTTTTGCAACACTTTTCTGGCATTATGGTTGTATTACAAAGTCCTGCGCCATATTCATGAAAGCTATTTGACAGTTTTCTTGCTATTTTTGACATCTGCGACAAAGTTTGGTAGTTTTTATCTGTGACTTACATTACATTCTAACAGCAAAAAGTTTTCCCAGCACACTCACCAGCCAGCATGCAAAAAAACTTGTCTCACCCGAAGGTTAAAAACAGAGATTTAGACACGCGTCTTCTGCAGAACATGTGAAAGCCGCACAGCCTCACCAGGGCACCTCTATATAGTGCGGTCCTAACTCTAAACTATGAGAGTCTCCATCTTGGAGCACATGTGGCAAAAGATAAAATTGGGTGCAGGTTTGTCCCACACTATCTAGAAGTGCCTTGGCGCGGCTGTGCGGCTTTCACATTTACTGCAGAAGACGTGTATCTAAACCTGTTTTTAACCTTAGCGGTGAGACAAGTTGTGCACCTTGCTGTAAAGCTGGTAACAAATTGATGAGTGTGTTTGCCATTTGTTTTGCTTACATTACTTTCTGGCGCTATGGCTGCAACAAATTCATTAAAAAATACTTCCATATTAGTGATAAGGAAAGTGGAGGTAAATAAGACGTCTTCCATGTTGCAGTGAATTGTGTCGCAGAGTATTGTGTAAGTATTGTGTCGCAGACTAAATTCTGTCTAAAGCAATTCTGCAACAGATTGATATCCAGCTTACGGAGAGTTACATGAATCTCTTGCAAGTTGCACCATTTGTTGCACAGACCTGGGACAGATTTCTAATGAGTGTCTATGACGCGCTATATGAATTGCAGGGTATGTGTTTGGTGTATACTATATATCACTATGAAGTAAGATGACAATTATTATCAATATAAAAATTACTGGGCTATAGCTGTCCATAGGAACACATGTATTTTATAAATGAGCATCAGTAAATGCACAAAGATACAGCACTTATATATAAAGTGGCGAATGGTCATTACATTCGCTTCAAACAGCAAGGGTAAGGGATTGCAAGCAAGGCATCCATGAGGTTGATTTATTAAAGCAGATAAAGAGGATGGTCACTGCTTTGTAAATATGGTGGATTTACTTCGACCATCCAATCACATGCAGGATAAAAATACTGGTTTGTTCATTTCACTTGCAGATAACTGGGTAGTTTAAAGAAGAACGTCAGGATTTTTACACATTAACCCTTGCCGTGCGTGTGGAGGGGGGGTGACCCCACTGCAAGGGTTCATTTGAAAAAAATGTAACTCATAAAGTGATCATTTTGGTCTAGGGATGTAAATAATGAAGAAATACTCACCCGATTCTCTGTCCCGCCTGGCTGCCCCACAGCTTCTTCTCCACCGAGCTCTGGCGGTCTAAGAACCACTGACGTTATCATGTCTAATGCAGGTCAATTAGACGTGAAGACGCCGAGGGACATACCACAAGCAGTGCGGAAGGAGAGAGAGGTGAGTGGTGACTGCCACAGGACCAAGGATCGAGTTAGCGCATATTCTTTATTTTCGCCCCTAGACCAAAATGAGCACTTAACCCTTGCAGCGCAGGGGCAGCCCCACTCTAAGGGTAGTTTGAAAAATACCTGGAGTTCTTCTTTAACTTCATTTTAATAACTAAGCTTGGTGAACATTCACTTTGCAAAGCAAACAGTCTCTACTGCTTTAGTGAATCAGCCCCACTCATATCATCAATTATTTAGTGTGGATTTCTGTGGAGAGACTTCCGTGCTCAACCTTTTACAGTTGTCACCCCACACATGTACCATGTGCAGATCCTCCCTTACAGTTGTCACCCTTCACATGCTCTTTTGAATACATTGGAGATTGCCTTCTACACCCAGCACAACTAATTTTAAGACTACCACAAACAGGGCAACATGGGA